GTGCGCCCCCAGTCTGGGGACCCGGCGGTGGGACTCTCTGGTCTGGGTACAGGCGACTCCGCCCCTGGTGGACGGTTTACCTTTACAGGCACCGCAAACAGCGTGAGGACACACCTGGAAGCCTTCGTATCCTCACCCTCCTTCGCACCTTAATCCTGCACCCTGGCCGGCCTCCGGGAGAGCTCGCAAATCCATTTGTTTTTGTGGGCCAACTCCCGCCCTAGCGTTAGCTATATTATTCCAACAGACTTGTTTCCACACTTAGCTGCATTTAGTCCATGGTCCACAGGGATGCCAGGATCATTTGATTTGGGGAAACAAACGTTGTGTCATGCCCCTGGCTTCCCATCGTCCTTTATAGAGACAAGTACTAAGAAATGTATGTATAGTTTTTCAAAAGAGCCAGAAGTACCTTGTTCAAAATCCTACCTCTACCACTGATACCTGTGCCACCTTGGGCAAGTAGCCAAATTTCACTTGTCTCAACTTCCTCATCTGTAAAACGGAGGTAGTAAATAATACAATTGCTGTGAGGAGTAAATCACTTCATGTCTGCCCCGGCTTGGCAAGTACTGTAATAACACTACCTAAGTGTTAGCTTTTAACATTAAGTCCAGTCTCCTTAACTTTGTCTTCACTTGGCCCCTGCTTACTTCTCCAGCCTCAGCTCTCTCCACTTTCCAGGGTTCTGCAAATTTCACTATCATGAATCTAGGTAGGATATTTTCCTCCCTCCCCCTCCACCTCCCTCCTTCTCCCCTCCCTTCCCCTCCCCTCCCTCCTTTCTTTCCTTCCTTCCTCCCTCCCTCCCTCCCTTCCATTGTTACTGGAAAGGGGGCCTGGCCCTGTGTGGGTCTGCCTAGGGCCAGCGGTAGTGTGTGTGATTCTTGACTTTGTGCAGGAAAGATTTCACAATGAGTTCAGGTGATTTTTAGACTACAGGGCCTTTTATTGTGTGTTTTTAAAAAAGAAAATTGTATCATTTGGGGGAAAATTTGGAAATAACTGGAGGGGAATTAAAAAGTCCCTCTAAAGAGTAATTTCACCTATTTCTGTCAGATACCTGAAGGCACTAATAGTACAAGGTCATCTTAAATGGAGTTCAAGGCTTGACGTTTCCTGAGCTCCCAGGCTACAAATACCTGGGAGGATTCTATTTCTGATGCACTCTTTTATTCTGAAAATTACAGCCCTTTGGCATGCCAGCTTTTCATAGGAAACATCTACTATACTACCCATTGTATGTGGGTTTTGACTTCTATCTCATGCAACCTAGAGTAAGGTCTGATTTGCTAGTATCAAATATGGTTTGCCTTTAGATCAAATGTGGTTTCAAAAATAACTTAGTCCCTCATTATCAGAATCCAGAAGTCACACTCACCCTCTTCTCCCTAACTGAACTTTAAGTGCTTCTAAAGCCTCATTAATTTACCACCTCAGGTATTTCCTAGTGCTAGTCTCTCCCCTAGAAATATGTATTCCTTTCTTTTCGAATCCCCACTGGCCTCTTTTGAGTAACTGCTCATTCTTCTGACTACTGAGGCTTTGTTGAATACTATTTCTCAGAGCTTCCGTAACTCCCAATGCTTCTTCTATCTAGCACTGTGTGTAGCTCCTGCGAGGGCCAGACCTTATGCATCTCATAACTATAAACGCAATATAGCCGAACCGGTTTGGCTCAGTGGATGGAGCGTTGGCCTGCGGACTGGGGGGTCCCGGGTTCGATTCCAGTTAGGGGCATGTACTTTGGTTGCGGGCACGTCCCCACTGGGGGGCGTGCAGGAGGCAGCTGATCGATCTCTCTCATCGATGTTTCTGGCTCTCTGTCCCTCTCCCTTCTTCTCTGTGGAAAATCAATAAAATATATTAAAAAAAATAAAAATAAAAAAAAAATAAACGCAATATAACCCTAGTCCGTTTGGCTCAGTGATTACAGCATCAGTCCAGGGACTTAAGGGTCTCGGGTTCAATTCTGGTCAAGGGCACGTACCTCGGTTGCAGGCTCGATTTTGGGAGGCAACCAATCAATGTGTCTCTCTCACACCAATGTTTCTCTCTCTCTCTTTTTTTTAAAAATATTTTTATTGATATCAGAGAGGAAGGGAGAGGGGGGGAGAGAGAGAGAGAGAAACATCAATGATGAGAGAGAATGATTGATCGGCTGCCTCCTGCACCCCCCCTACAGGGGATCGAGCCGGAAACCTGGGCATGTGCCCTGACTGGGAATCGAACCTTGACCTCCTGGTTCATAGGTCGATGCTCAACCACTGAGCCACACCGGCTGGGCCACTCTCTTAAAAAAAGGGGGGGTGGGGTGTAATATATCATAGTAGTTAAGAATGTGGCATCTGCAACCAGAGTGACTACGTCTGAATCCATCCTACCTACCACTGTAAACGTAACCTCTCTCTTCCCCAGTTTTCCAATCTGCAAAGTGGAACAACGAAAGAAGCCTGCCTCACAGGATTATGAAGAAATGAGTTAAAGTGTTAGTGTCCATGTAAAATGCTTAGAACTGTGCTCATGCATAGAAAGTGCTCCTAAGTGTTGGCCAGTTTTATTATTGAGGTCTCAGTTCATAGCACTTCTTAGGCACCCAATTATTGAATATTTGTCTATTTTTATTAATCAACATGATTTCCAAGCAGCTCTGGCTATGACTTGGTGCCGAGTGAGGATTTGCCTGAGCCACTCTTCCCCCGAAAATCCCACCCACTGTGATTTCCTTGAACCCTCTGTGAATAGGACAGCCTATTTCTCTCAGGTCTCCCCACTAAGCTCTGCTAGGGAGGTGAAAAGCAAGGGTCCAGAGGAAAGACCACTGAACCTGGACTGAGGTTCCTAGCTCTACAACTTGCTGTGGGCCTTCAGCTAAACAGCTAAATTTTATAGGATCCTTTCCACATCCTCACCCGTCCTGCTGTCCCCTGGACTGCTCGGTGTAAAACAATGCCCTCCTCCACTACTGGTTCAAAATTCACTTAGTCTCCAAGACATATCTTAAATGCCATCTCTTGCCCACGGTGCAGCCCGCCTCCATATTATTGCTCCCTGCTTGTAACTTACAGTTGTAAACCAAGTGCTAGCATAGCAAGCTTATGCAACTATTGCTTTAGTGAATTAAACTTTAGAATACATGTGAACAAATCAACTGTCATATAAAATTGTTTACCATTTAATAAATATACTGGAAACCACCCAAGAGACTGAATGAAGCTTTCAATTCCAAAGCTTTAATTTAAATCAAGTAGCCCTTTCAGTTCATATAAACTCACATGTCCAGGAACATTGTGGGCTCACAAGCAGGCACTGCTGGCATGGTGAGTGTGTCACCCTTTGATTAACGTCGTATCTTCTTTCTTCACATCCACAAATTTCCCCAAAGGGAAAGATGTTAAAAAATATTACCATTTGGGCAACATATTAAATGATAACTCAAAATATGTAAGTTCTAAGCCTTTTGAAGCCAAGCCATGTTGTATACTAATATACTCAATACAGTAACATAATTTTTAAAATTTTTCAGTTATCTGAGTTGATAGCTTTCACTTATCACCAGGATACAATAAAAGTATTTTAAAGTTACCGGCTACACCCGGCTGGCATGGCTCAATGGTTGAGTATCGAACTATGAACCAGGAAGTCACGGTTTGATTTCCAGTCAGGGCACATGCCTGGGTTGCGGGCTCAATCCCTAGTGGGTCAACCCCCAATGAGGGGCGTGCAGGAGGCAGCTGATCAATAATTCTCACTCATCATTGATGTTTCTCTTTTTCTCTCTCTCTCCCTTCCTCTCTGAAATCACTAAAAATATGTTTTAAAAACAATTACCAGCTGCACTTAATGAGCTGTCCTTGGTCAAGGTTAGAATGAGGGAATGAGAAGATGACTAGGAAAAGGTTTGATGGAGAAAATCTGAAGATCTTGTCCCATACCTCTGTAGAAATGTAGAACCACCGCAGAGGATTTGGGGAAGGGTCCCAGAAGCAAAGGGCTGTTTTACATATTACTTGATTTTGAAAATGATTTACAGACAAGCCAACCAGGGTGGAGAAAAGATAGGGAATAAGGAAGTTGCAAATAGCTTAGATCAGTGGTTCTCAACCTTCTGGCTCTTTAAATACAGTTCCTCATGTTGCGACCCAAGCATAAAATTATTTTCGTTGCTACTTCATAACTGTAATGTTGCTACTGATATGAATCGTAATGTAAATATCTGATATGCAGGATGGTCTTAGGCGACCCCTCTGAAAGGGTCGTCCGACCGCCATAGGGGTCACGACCCACAGGTTGAAAACCGCTGGCTTAGAAGAACATGAGTTTCTAAGCAATAAATGTACTAAAAAAGCAAGTTTTAGGATTATGTCAACTTCAAATGAGAAGCCTGCTGGTGATATCTGGTTCTGGAGATGGATAATGTCTTTCCTTTAACCCTCTTTCTTCAAAAAAAAAAAGGAGGGAGAGCACCTTCCTAGATATTTGACATGAAGAATCTCTTAATCCAGGAAGCAAAAGTTTACTCCACAATTGGGACCTCTTATTGAATATGTAGGCAAAAATGGTCACCACAGTGCCCATCAGGATGGCATCTGAAGCAAAGCCCAGGGCCTCCAGGAAGTAGTAGGAGTAGCACAAACTGAACAAGGAGGCCCGGAGGTGAGATGCCAGATTAGTGCCTAAATCCCTGAAAGACAAAATCATCAGTCTGGATCAACAGAATAATCCAAAAATCCATCACAGTAAAACACACCTTTTAGATATGCACATATGTAGTTTGTGATCTATGGCACATATAAAAATTAGAAAAACAGCCATTACAGTAGCCCATGTAGAACACAGTGGGGAAATGGTAATTGCTCTTACATGGTTATAGCTTCCCTTCATCTAACCTTTCATCTTACTAACCTTAAGTGTTCACTCTTCAAAGAGGATCTTTTCATTTCTTTTGAGTAAACATTAGTCAGCTGCTCCCCCGAGTACACATGGGTGAGACCTTAATGGAAAAACAATATAAAGACAATCTAATAGTATCGTAAGTTTCAACCCAAGAGGAATAGTTAGCAGCAGCAATGATTGAGTTGTATGATCTCTCCTTTCTCTCCATCCCACACCCATCACCACCTGAGGGTGAATTAGTGAGGGCAGGGATAAACTGGTAAAAGGCCCACTACATATAACCTGCCCCAACTCTATTCTGAGAAAGAAAACCCCTTAACTGCCAATACAGAAAGCACTGCTGCTTCAACAAGGACCAACACTCACTTGCCAAGATATGGGGCTATATTTACAAATTTTATTATTTTTTATCCCAAAAATACATATAAATGAAAACCTGCTCTTCAAATGCAGGGAGACTTTACCTATAATGTAGCATTACATTTACATCACAAAACATCCTCATATGAAAATCAGTTGCAGCTCTTTCATACACAATTAGATATATATTCACACTATATATATGTAAGTAGTTATGAATTATCTACTTACACAGATTCCTTTAGTGGAAAATTAGGAAATTCCCATGCTTTCCAGCCTTGGGAAGGTAAATACAACCTCTCTAGATGTTTTTAAAAAGATGAAACATGTAAACTACACAACCTCCTTTAGACATGTACACATGTTGCTAGAAGAAAGCAAGGACCCTGCCACATAAATAATAGTGTGTTTCTCAAAAGAGAAAGAGATAACATTTGAATAAAAATGCAAAGTTGAAGAACAGATAAGATGGTCAAAATTGTTATGTACACGCTCCATGGAGAAACGAGAATTCTCTCACAGGAAACAGATCCTCGATGCGTCTCAGCCTCTCGTGACATTAAACCGGCCCCCACTGGCAGTAGTCATGATCTTCCTGTACAGTCAAATGCTTAAGCAGGCTCTTAAAGCATCTGTTTAAGTCCAACAGTCAATAATGAGGTCATGTGGTAAATTCCCATCCCCCCCCCCCCAAAAAAAGAAGTGCAAAATCAACTTCTGTGACTCAAGAGCTCAACCAGGTCAAAGCTTTGGTATATACAGGAGGCTGTTTTGGTGATAACCAAAGCTTAGAAAGATTCTGTTAAGGGATTTGCCCCAGGAACAAAGACAAAACAAACCCAGTCCACACAGCCTATAAATAAAGTAACTGTACAAAGAGAACAAGCCACAATTCCCCTTTAGACAAGGGTTTATAGTTTCCGAGGCAGCAGTTCTGAAAGCACCAACTAAAGCCACAATGCTTCTACGAGAACACAATGTGTTGGTGAGACTGTTCTGAAAACATATGCCCACAGGCAAGTGGCTAATGTGCCACAGAAAAAAGTTCAAACACAAGTCAGTTTTCTTACATTATAACATAAGCTGGTCAGCAACCGAAGAGAGACTTAAGGCAATAAGAGGCATTACAAAGAGCGCCACGGTGCTCGAGTCAATCACAAAGCCTTCGCAGAAAGGAAAGGTCTCTCAAGAGTTTGGGTTGTTTATTAGTTTGCTAGCTGTCAGATACTTCTTCCTCCTCCTCTTCATCCTCATCTTCTTTCCTGTCTACTTCAGAGGTGTCAGAGGACTCATGCAGCAGAACATACTCTCTGCTGCTGAACCCAAATTTAAGTACATCTTTTTCCTTCAGTTCGTAGTATCTCTGTGGCTCAATGCGCTTGTTATTCAAGAATGTTCCATTGCCTGAACCAAGGTCAATGATGTGGGGCTTCACCCTGCGGCCAACTGTCCCATCAGCACGGGTGTATTCCACAAGCCTGGAAGAGATAAGAGAGAGAAGCCTCAGGGGGGTGAGGGTAGGTAGAGGAGGATATGGGGGAGATAATGGTGATGGAAGCCTTGACATAGGGTGGTGAATACACACTACAATATATAGATGATGTATTATAGAACTGCACACCTGAAACCTATAATTTTATTAACCAGTCACCCCAATAAGTTCAATATAAAAAAGAAAAAAAGAGAGAAAACTGTGGACCAAATCTTGCCTCAGATCATCCAGCTTTTTGTTAACACAGCCTAGATGTGGTAAATACCTGGCTTCAATACAGCTCAAGTTCAAACTAAGAAACAAGGAGAAGACATGACCTTAAATCTAGAAATTAGGAGCAAGTTAAATAATACTTCGTAAAAAGGTGAGACCTGGTACTTGGTGGATAGGAAATTCATGGTAGATCAAAAGCTTAAAATGCAGCCCCTGCCGGGTAACTTAGTTGGTTAGAGCATTGTCCTGATATGTGAAGGTCATGGGTTCCATCCCCAATCAGGTTGCACATAAGAATTAACCAATGAATGCATAAATAAATGGAACAACAAATCAATGTTTCTCTCTCCCTTTCGCTCTCTAAAATCAATCAATAAATTTGCCATAATTAAGAAAATTTTGGGGGTTGTTTATAACTTCAAAGTTAAGGGCACAAGATTTGAGCCAGAGTTCTATTATGGGGACCACTTAGGCAAGTCACTTGGCTTTGCTGAATGTTAGTCTTCTCACTGTCAGATGGGGACATTAGTACCTATGCTATCCACCTAACAGGATTGATGGGAGGATCAAACAATAGCAGATGTATTGTGCAAACTGTCAAGATACAGATACAGCCAACATATTCTCAATTATATTTCCATTTAACAACCCTGTGAGGTAGGTAGAAACTGAGGCCCAGAGAGTGGCTTGTCCCAGGTCAAACACCTGGCAAGTGGGAGTGGCAGGATTCCCAACACCAAGTTCAATGCTCTTATATAAATATAAGTAACTATTTAAAGGGTAATTAGATTAATACTCCTTAAGACGAATATTAGATATAAGGGGTACGGATTCTTTTGCATATACATGCACACAAAATTTAGTAATCCTGAGACACTAGCTTCTGCTCACACTTGACTTTCTTTCTGCAAATGCACTTACCTATACTGAAAGACCGCGTGCTGCTTTGAACAAGAGGGATGATCGATTGGAATGTCTGCAATACGGCGGTGTCGCCCCAGGAGGTAAGCGCTTTGTCGATGAATGTACATGATCGGAAGCACCTCATCATTTTTAAATGGGTAGAGACGCCACCGTTTTTTAGGGATACGTGCTTCGGGGGGCTCGCTATATTTAATGACTACACCTCGGAAGGTGTTCGTGTCCTCAAGAAGTGCCCCAGAAAGTTCAAAGCTTGGCTTTTCCTTGACGGGCACCTCTTTGTTTTTGTTGTTGCCACCAGGTGGAGGAACCAACTCCTGAGACTCATTACCGCTGGTACTGACTTCATTCTTTTGGCGATGCTCCCGCCTTCGGGCATTATAAAACTCCCGCTCTGCTTCCTGAGCCGGCAGGTTCTGAAGGTCTCGATCACGATCACGCCCCTGAGCCGGCCCACTCCCAGGTCTCTCATTAGATGTTCTCCTCTGGTGGGAGTGGCCCCTGTGCCTGCCTCGGTCACTATTCCTCGCTCGCCTGTGCTCCTGTTCTGATGCTTCCCGGTGCTGCCGATCTTCCCGTTCTCTCCGGGGTGGATGATCTTCACGCTCCTGAAATTTGAGCAGACTCAGTAAATTCAAGGCAGTCCAAAATCTATGAACAAGCTGCATTCAAAAAGTCATTTGTGATGTGGACTTTGGCATTCAAGAGCAAAATGCCGCCCAGCCAGCCTGGCTCAGTGGTTGAGCTTCCGCTATGAACTACGAGGTCATGGTTCAATTCCCAGTCAGGGCATATATGCCCAGGTTGCAGACTCAATCCCCAGCCGATCAATGATTCTCATCATTGATGTTTCTATCTCCCTTCCTCTCTGAAATCAATAAAAATATATATATATTTTAAAAGCAAAATGCCCCACAGAAATAAGGTTATCAGTGGTGGTTATGTTTCCATGCAAGGCCACACTGACTGTGTATCCCATGCTGTTGCCCAATTATAGCTCTAACAGTGCCAGCCCATGTTCAGAGCTCTAGAAACAGGAGTGCCTGCAGGCAAACTTAAAAGGGATCATATACAGAAAATAGAACTAACAAAGAGAGCTAACTAGTCACAAACAGGATAAATGTGTTTAGAAAAAGCTAGCTTTCTCCTATGCCAACAGTTTAAAAATGTCTCATTTCAACAGTAACAAAAATTACTCAATACCCAGGAATACACTTAAGAAATATGTAAGATCTGCCCAGGATCAATTGGTTGAAGCAGCATCCCCTGCACCGGAAGATCCCATTTGATTCCCAGTCAGGGCATATTTTTATGTCTTGACTATATAGAGGTCACCATTGCAAGAAACAAGGTAAAGAGTATACGCCTATATTAGTTTTACAACTACAGGCATATACTCTCTTTCATTCAACAAAAAAGCAGGTAAAAAAGTCACCCAGTTTTGAGAAAATCCCATGGCAGATGCAGGTGAATACATGCACAAGACTTTAGCGATGGTGGTAACAGGCTCTAGATTCAGACCCAGCACCAGAACATCTCAATCCACTTACCTGCTTCACTTTGACTGTCGAGTGGTGAGGACTTCGGCTTCTGTTACTCCGAGGAGACTTGCTTCTTCTCCCTGAGGACTTTTTCTTTTTGGCTGGGGATCTGTTAAGAGAATGGCACACACAGGATTTTATCTCCATTTCCCTCCCCCATGTAAATTACCTTCAAATATCAGGTTTGTGAAGGTCTCTGCTTTTCACACTACAGGAGTCAGGAGCTTCACCTTCCTAGCCCACAGTCTCCCCTGAGTTCCAGACCCACAGACATAACTGCCTACCAAACCTTCTCACACTTAGATAACATAACTCTTGATTCCCGACCCCTCAAAACGTTTCCTCTCTCAGTCTCTGCCATGTCAGTGGCACCACCAACCACCCTGCTCAAGCCAAAAACCTAGAAGTCATCCTTGACCCCTTTTCCCCTCCCCCACAGCGTCCACACCCCTCCCCCACAGTCACATTCAATCCATCAGCAAGTCCTCTGCCGTCTCCTCCCTCTCCTACCTCATTCCAACCACTCTCCTTGATCACCACACTGGATTTTTTTCTATTCCTAAGACAATCACAATTGTCCGGGCCAGGTAGCTCAGGTGGTTAGCGTGTCATCCAAATACACCACGGCTGCAGGTCCCATCCCAGCCAGGACACATACAAAAGTCAACCACTGTATGCATAAATAAGTGGAACAAAAATCGATGTTTCTCCCTCTCTCTCCCTTCCTCCCTCTCTAAACCAATCAATAAAAATAAATAAGCCCTAACTGGCTTGGCTCAGTGGATAGAGCGTTGGCCTGTGGACTGAAGGGTCCCAGGTAGGATTCCAAACAAGGGCAAGTACCTTGGCTGAGGGCACATCCCCAGTGGCGGGTGTGCAGGAGGCAGCTGATCCGACGTTTCTCTCTCATCGATGTTTCTATCCCTCTCCCTTCCTCTCTGTAAAAAAATCAGTAAAATATGTTTAAATAAATAAATAAATAAATAAAATAAAAAATAAGACAATCACAACTGATTCCATTACAGGTTCTTTGCACACATTGTTTCCCCTGCCTGGGTCTTATCATTCAGGTCTCAGCTCAACTGGCACCTTTTCAAAGCAGCCTTCTCCCACTTCCCTCCAATCTGTCACGTTAAATGTTTTAACCTACTCGTAATACTTGTTACTAACAAACTATTTTCTTTATTTGCTAGTTATTTTGTCTCAGGGTCAGAGGACATCAATTCAAGAGGGTAATGTCCATCTATCTTTCATTTTATTTTTGGGAGAGAGAGGGAGGAAGAGGAGGAGAGAGACATTGATTTGTTGTTCCACGTACTTATACCATCCACTGGTTGGTTCTTGCTTGTGCCCTGACCCGGGATCCAGCGGAACCACACGAGGCTCTCACCGTTCAGCCCTGGTACCCGGGGCAGTCTTCAGCACATAACAGGTACTCAGTAAAACTATGTGGAACGAATAAATGAACGCGCCTAGCAAGACAACGCTGGGCGCTCCATGTGGAAACCTTTGGGGGCAGATCATTAGAAAGACACCGCCCACACTCCATTCGCAGGCAGATGGGGAAAACCTTTCGTTTCAACTTAAAATGATCCTTGCTGGCCGCTAAGTGCTGGGCACACAGACCCGAAGAGGTGGGATCCTGTCCACTAGGCCCTTCACGCGCAGCGACAACGCTAGTGACAAATCAACAATAACACCAGCACCGCCGGTACTTGGACCGGTACGGCCAGCCCTGCGCTCCGCATTCAAAGTGTGTTTCTAACGCCGCCTGCCCGCCCCGCGGCTTCCCACTCACCGGCTACGTCTCTGCGCTCGGTTCCCGCGGTGACCAGGGCTGCCCGGCTCGCCGGACGTCTCGGCCTCGGGGCTGAGGCGCTCTTGCTTCACCACCACCGTCGCCGTCGCCACCGCGTCCTCGTCCCGGTGCCTGCGCCGGCTCCCCCGCTCCCGCTCACTCTTCACCTCTTTCATGATGCGATATCCGCGGAGCGCAGGGGAAACTCAGCCGTTGCACTCCCCTCGTAGACAGGAAATGACGTGCCAGACCCCGGGACTTCCGCTCTTGGAGTACACGCTCTCCCAGAAACCCTCGCGATGCAGAGGTTAAACACGTGACGACTCTGTTGTGGGCGGGGCCGTCAGGACGCAGCTCGGGTGGCGGGAGTTTCAAGTTTCAAAAACCAACTCCTGGGAAAAAGCTATGCTCCAAGCTGTTGCCGCGTCATTAGTCCTTCCTAAACCCCGAGACAACCGAAAAGCTCAGCAGTCGGGCATTTAGCCAACGGATGGATGTTATATCGCCATTTGCAGATGTACTATGCAAACTTATCTACAAACTCTATTATGACAAAAACAAAACAAAACCCAGACGTTAAGCGAAAGAAACAGGATACAAAGTTGTGCGCAAACTGTGCTTACATTTATGTTTGGAAATGCGAAGGCAAGAAGGGAGTAAATGCAATCATAGATAGTATACCGTGGGCAAACCATTAGTATTTCTCCAACTGTTACGTTGTCTCTTCACCACTTAATTAAAGACAATTGATTTTTTAAAACCTGGGAACTCCAGATGTCTTCCTCTATGATTCCCGCTTTGCAGATGACAAAATCGGGAGTCAGAGAAGGTGATCTGCCACCTCACTCAAATTGCGAGCTACGCGTGGCACAGGAACGCGAGCCCGTTTTCCCTACTTCCAAGAGCAGAGGAGCGACCCGATGAGCAGGAAGCCTGCCGGCCGAGCTAAGCAAGGAAGAACCTTACCCGGAAGCTGCGCCGAGAGAAACTCGCGCGATGCTGGCCCCGCCCAACTCCAAAGCCCCGCCCAGGCCTGGAGGCTGGGAGGAGAGGTTTCCATGGTGACAGTAAACAAGGCCCTGCCTTTGAGGGGCAATTGCTGGGCTACTCGCCGGCACCATGATTCCCCCCGCGGACTCTTTACTCAAGTATGACACCCCGGTGCTGGTGAGCCGGAATACGGAGAAACGGAGCCCCAAAGTAAGGATGGGTCTCAGGGGGGCAGGGGAGCCCGGAACTCCTATGGGGAAAGACAGATGCCTGCGTTGAAGATCCGGAGTCCCAAGAAATAGAGGCTGAAGCAACTGAGAGTAAAGAAAATTGGGATAGGGAAAGGAGGATAGGAGAGCGGAACCAGAAGCCCAGATGTTGGGCCACTCCAGAGGGTAAATTTAGGACGGGAAAAGAAGTCAGTGGGAGATGAATGAGATTCGCCGTTTTTCATGGTAGCCGGTGCAAGAATAGATCTGGTGGTGAAAGCAGAGGCCTGAGCACCCGGGCCAGAAACATCGGTTCAAGGAGATACAAGCGTTGGATTGGGTTGGGACCAGAGACTCTTGGCCTCCTTTAGCTCTGAGACATAACTTCTGCTGAGAAGACAGATGGGGAAAGTGTATGGGAGACCTGGAGCAAGGACCAGGTGCTTAGTATCAGAATCACCTCCTGCCCTAATGTGTCTCTTCCTCCCAGGCTCGGCCATTGAAAGTCACCCCCCAGCAGCCTGGACCCTCAGGTCCAATCCCACCGCCAACCAAGACCAAGCTCTCAATTTCCTGTGTCCCAGATCCTACAAAGCAGGCAGAAGAAATCTTGAATGCTATCCTGCCACCAAGGTAAGAGAAAAAAAAGCGTAAAAAAAAAAAATAAGCAGGGATAGTTGCTAGGAGAAGACGCAGGCTTTTGCATCCCAGAACTTGGGAACATGGCAAGAGGCATGCTGTCTCTGTTCCTGGCTGATCTTTCCTCCCAGTGTCTCTGAGTTCCTAGAGCTTACAGATGGCTGGATCCTGGGAAGGTGGGGCTACCTTGTTCTCTATCTACCCTCATTTCCAGAGTGCTCATGGCTTTAAATACCATCTATGTGCTGAGGCTCCCAAATGTATATTTCCAGATCTGTCCTCTCCTCTAAACTCCAGAGCCATATTTTCTGCTACTGCTTTCCTACCTTCATGGAGATGTTAATAGGGCACTCAAGCCACCCCATCCACTTGGCTCAACATGTTCAACCCTAGCTGGGTTTCTCAGTGGTTAGAGCATTGGCCTGTGGACCAAAGGGTCTCAGGTTCAATTTTTGGTAAGGGTATGTACCTCGTTTGCAGGTTTCCCAGCCCTAGTAGTGGCATGTGTGGGAGGCAACAAATTGATGTCTCTCACGTTGATGTTTCTCTCTCTCTTTTTCTCCTTCTTTCCTCCCTTCCACTCTCTCTAGAAATCAATGGGGAAAATATCTTTGGGTGAGGATTTTAAAAAACAACAACCCTCAACATGTCCAAACTCATAATTTCTTCCTTACCCCAACCTGCTCATCCTGTCTTCCCTTTCTATTAGGGACTCAGGCCACCTCTCATCCCTCTTGGTCTCTCACATCACAGATGCTATCCTTTATTGATTTCTTTTGGCCCCACCTTGAAATCATATCCCAAATCTGACCATTTTTCACCAGCTCTGCTTCCATCATCTTGTTTCTAGTCACTGTTTATCACCTGTACTACTGCAGTGGCCTCCCACTGCAAACCTGGCTTCCACTCTTTGCCCCTACAATCTATGCTCCACACAGCCCCCAAATCATAAGTCAGACCATGCCAGGTTTCTGCCAGAAACTCATGGCTTCCCATCTTATCAGACCAAAACCCACTGTCTTTTCAGTGGTCTGTGAGACCTGGCATGATCCCGCCCCAACATACCTGTGATCTTATCTCCTGTCATTTTCTTTCTTGTTCACGGTGCTAAAGCCACAGGGGCCACTGCTTGCTGTCTCAGAATCACTTCGCTCTTCCACCTCGGGGCCTTGACAACTGCTATTCTTACTGCCAAGGATACTCTTCCCCGAATATTCACCTGGTTCCTGTCCTTCCTTTACTCTGGTCTTGCTCAAATGCCATTTCTTCAAGGAGGACTTCCTTGAGAATCCTCATAAAAGAGCTCCTTCTCCCTCCATGATCCCCTTACTCTGCTTCTTTCTTCTGCAGCCACACTTATCCCTCGCTGATGTGCCTTTTCCACTATTTTTTATATAATCCGTTGACAGCACAGTTTTTAAGGCTCTGATGAAACGAGAGCCTGCAATTTCCTCTCAGGTGGAAGTCAAAGAAAGGGGAAGGGTTGATTTTCCTGCGGATTCCTTCCCACCACGGCATGGAAGTCCTCTCCCCCATGGTGATTCTGCCCTTAGGCTCCCTCCTTGTGATTCTAGAACAGAGGTCCTCAAACTTTTTAAACAGGGGGCCAGTTCACTGTCCCTCAGACATTCCACACATGCGCACTGCGGGCCCGGGACGAGTCGGCTGCTAAGCAGGACAGGCAGCGTCAGCAAAAACACCCGGCGGGCGGGATAAATGTTTTCGGCGGGCCGCATGTGGCCCGCGGGCCGTAGTTTGAGGACCCCTGTTCTAGAACCTGGCCATGCCTCTGACCCAAGGTTTGCTATGAGGAGCTACATGCCTTTAAGAACGTCCCTATCCCTCACTGCACACATGCACCTCTTTCTGACTGGCACAAGGGTTATGGTGCCCTGTGTCTCCCACCCCACAAGTCAGTGGGCAATTTCCACTGGGCCTTCTGTTCATATCAAGCAACAACCATACATTTGTCCTGGACACATTAGGAGGGTAAGATCTGGAGCATGGGTGATGATTTCACAGAGGGCTGGAGGAGAGTGGAGCTTGCCCAGCCCCGAGGGAGGGGCCCTGTGGAGGCAGCTGAGTGTGTGTGGCTTTGGGGCCACACACTCCCCAAGGAAGAAGGAAGAATGGGGAATCCTGATGGTTTGGTGACAGAGCTGCCCCCCACTCCTGCCCAGGCAGAGAGCTCAGAGGGCCATCTCTGCTCATGTCCTGAGGACCCTCTCTGGCAATGGGTTTCTCTCAGCCTGGCTGTGTCTGTGCCGCAGGGAGTGGGTGGAAGACACACAGCTATGGATCCAGCAGGTGTCCAGCACGCCCAGCACCCGGATGGATGTGGTGCACCTTCAGGAGCAGCTGGACCTGAAGCTGCAGCAGCGGCAGGCCCGGGAGACTGGTATCTGCCCTGTCCGCCGGGAGCTCTACTCACAGTGTTTTGGTGCGTGGCCAGGGGGAAGGGTGCACTACACTCTGCTACCTCTTTCTCTTCCCCTTCAGCACAGCCCCAAGCTCTGAGTATCCCTGAGCTGAAGCCCACCCCATCCTGAAATCATCTGTGCCCCACTCCCTGTCTCCCCCTGGATCTGCTAAATGCACCCTCTTCTCCCTCCCAGCCCTGCCTCTCCCACCAGTCCCCCCCACTTGCCGGTCAACCTGACAACTTGGTTCCTCACCTCTTAGCAGATATTGGAGTAAATGAGAACTTCCATTATAAATCTTTGTTTTCTTTCAAAGATTTCTATAATAAGCATGTGTTAATTTTTTAATCAGAAAAATTAATGTGCTATATTTATATCCACCTATCAACATTCAGCCCTTGGTCCAGAAAGCACTTCAGGGTAATTTGCTGTTAACAGACAGAGGATTTAAGTTCTCCCTCCTCAAGTGCAGGTGTGAGTGGCTGTCCTCTGCCCAATGTCACTGGCCACATAGACATGCAAACCACCTCCAAACCCTGAGGCAGCTGCAAGGGCTACAGGCTCCCTGCGGTCTGAGTGTGATGGTGGTTTGTCCCCCAGGACAGCATTTATGGAGGAGAGGGGTGGGCAAGCTGTAGACTGTGCTGTTTCCAGCGCCAAACCAGTCCAGCCAGGGAGACACATGGGATTTCCCAGCTGCTTTAAAGCAGCCACCATCTTCCAATTGAAAAGTCAGGTTTCTTTGAATAGTACCCAGTTCCTGGCTAAAGATGGAAGAGAGGGGCCTCATGCTGCAAGCAAACCTGGGGCTCCTGTCTCCCTCTGCCCTGGGCTTGCCAACTGCCAAACTCCCAAGTGCCAAGTTCAGAGCAGTGGCTACATGGCAAGGCTCCTGGGACCACTGAAGGCCCCTCCCTGAGATCTGTCTCCAAGTGAGGAGGACACCTTCCCATAGGAAGGGTGGTTTGCAGTAGACAGGTGTATTTCCACTCCCCCCCACACCCCCACACCCCCGCCTACCTTCTCTGACCTCTGTGTGTGTGTGTGCATTGGAAGATGAGCTGATTCGTGAGGTCACCATCAACTGTGCGGAGAGGGGGCTGCTGCTGCTGCGAGTCCGGGACGAGATCCGCATGACCATCGCTGCCTACCAGACCTTGTATGAGAGCAGCGTGGCGTTTGGCATGAGGAAGGCGCTGCAGGCTGAACAGGGGAAGTCAGACATGGAGAGGAAAGTGAGTGGGGTTTACACAAGCCTTTGGCCCTGGACTCCTCTGTCTCAGGGTCACATGGTTGTCATTCTGGCACTACAGGCTGGCCTCCTAGGGTGCTCGCCATCACCTCAGTGAGGACCCTTGGTTCCGAGTGTAAGGGGCGCCACAGGGTTGTCTCCTCTTGGACGTGCCGTGTCAGGCACTGACCTCCCACTGGGTGGCAGTACAGACCCTGCCAATGTCTTGGGTTGGACAGTGTGTTCCAGGGCCCCTCCACCAGGGCACTCAAGCCGCCCCATCCACTTGGCGACGTCCCAGGATGACTGGGGTTCTGTCCTCAGATTACAGAGTTAGAAACGGAAAAGAGAGACTTGGAGAGGCAAGTCAACGAGCAGAAGGCAAAGTGTGAGGCCACGGAGAAGCGGGAGAGTGAGAGGAGACAGGTGGAGGAGAAGAAGCACAATGAGGAAATTCAGTTCCTGAAGCGGACGAATCAGCAGCTGAAGGTAATCATCACACAGACCCCGGTGGAGGTGCACGTCCACCCGCCCTCCAAGCCACAGAGGCCAAGCCTTTGGTTCTTTTTCCTACGGATGACTATTGTAAAATCCTCACTGGAGGACATTTTTTTCCTTGATTTTTAAAGAATGAAAGGGTGGGGTGGGGAGAGAGATATCTCACATGGACTCGTTGCCTCCCACACGCCCTGACCCAGGCTGGGGATCAAACCTACGACCCTTCAGTCCGAGGGCCAACACTAACCATTGACCTAAACCGCCCAGGGTCAGATGACTTTAAAGACCATCTATATGCACTACCCAGGAGTAAAGGAAGCTGACTTTTTGGGGGAGGAAAGGGGGGCAGTGAGGGGCAATGGGGGTTGATTACCCGGATTCTCCATTCTTCTGGTTCTGGAGGGGGCTCTGTTCTTAACTCCGAATCCCCATGATCCCTCAGACTGGCTCTGCAGTGTTTTTTTCCCCTTGGAAAACAGTTGTCCATTCTTGGGAGGGTGGATATGGCAGAAAGCAGAACTTCCTCCCCAAGGCAGCTGGTGGTCTGGCCCTTCCTAGAGTGGGCGGAGCTCTCAGTGCTTTCCCGCCTGCCGTCAGTCCCCACCTAGACCCTGCATTGGGGGCAGGCAGGGAAGGCCCTTTGAGACGGAAGAACCATTTCAAACCAGGATGTGTGGTCAGAGGAACTCGTGTTTTCCCTCAAAGCCCTCTTGCGGGTGTATACTTTTATCCAGCTGAGCTGGAGGGAAGGGAAGGAGGGGGGCTGGTGAAGAAAAGGGCTGAGCAGGGGCCAGGCCTCTGAAACTCCAGGCTGTCTGGTCCAAAAGTTCTCAAAGACTGGATTCCAGCCCTGGCCAGTGTGGTGCAGTTGGTTGGAGCATCATCCCATACACTGAAAGGTTGTGGGTTTGATCCCTGGTCAGGTGCATATGGGAAGGCAACCGATCAATGTTTCTCTCTCACATCAGTGTTTCTCTCTCTCTTCCTCCTCTCTAAAATGAAGAAGAATGTCCTTAAGTGAGGATTTTTTTTTTAAAAAGGTTGGATTCCAGACCAGCATTATTCTCATCACAGATGATTGGGCCCATGCCAGATCTACCGAGTCAGAAACTTTGGGGTTGGGGGGTCCAACAATCTGTTCTAACAAGGTCTCCAAGTGATTCTGATGCTTGCTAAAGCTCGAGAACCACTGTTCTAGATCAGTGATTCCCAAAGTGGGCGCTACCGCCCCCTGGTAGGTGCTGCAGCGATCCAGGGGGGCGGTGATGGCCACAGGTGCATTTGGGGGCGATGAGTAACTGCTATTAAAATTTTTAAAAAATTAATTTCCAGGGGCTGAGTAATATTTTTTCTGGAAAGGGGGCGGTAGGCCAAATAAGTTTGGGAACCACTGTTCTAGGTATAGGGCCTACCGACATTTAGTGGCTGTCTCCCATGGCCCTTGGCCAGAAGGGGCCCCTGAATTTTTCTCCCTCTCCACCCTAGTCTCATAGAAAACTTACATTCTTGGGATTGGTAGGCTTGTTGGTACTACAAACCAAGACAGGCACTTGAGATAAAGAAGGGCTTGTATTAGTGGCTAGTGCTAGTGCAGGATGACACAGATTTTCTCGTTGCTGCGTTTAACAACAAAAAAGCTACAAACGTTCACTGCCAGATGTGCATGTTTACTTAGCAGCCTCTGAAGCTGCCTCCCTTATCTCCTTTACCCTAAGCCCAAGTTCCTCAGTTCCTCTATAGTACTGGCAGCAAGAGCAAAGCAGAGCACCTTGGCATCTTTCTAACATTAACAAGCAACGCTGTAATCCCCAGGGTGAAGGACTCTTTAGAAGTGAGTTATTTTTATTGGCTCAAAACTGCACTGCAAATAAAGCAGTGTTTGCAGTCCCCAGGATAGACCTACTTAAAGATCTGTCCACACACCATGATAGTAAATTATGTTACTGGCTGCCAGAGGAGCAGAGCAAATAGCTCCCAAGTGTCTTCGGCTCTACATGCAAGACAGACAGCTCCCTACTCACTGGTAGCAATTTTCTCTAATTGGGTGTCAAGTTGTCTCAGGGGCTGAAAATTTGCTGTTTCCCAAACCTCTTGTCCCAGCACAGAGCTCCCAGGATCCCAAAGTTTAACTTAGCAGACATATTCAGGCCTGAAATCTGAGCCATGAAAAACCACTATTTCAACAACTTTGATTCAATTTCCTTTTCACTGCTTTATATTATGCACTGAGCCATTATGGTATGGAAACCAGGACAGCTCTCGTTTCTCCTAATGTAGCAAGACAGTATGCCAAGCCAGAAACCAGCTAATCTAGAAAATATGGAGCTGGGAATGAAGGGGGGGGGGGGTTTGGAGGGGCAGCGGGGGGGGGGGGTTTGGAGTGGCAGCATTGGGATTATCCTTCCCAGAGACTTTTATCACCTCTCAGCTATTTGTGTTAGGCTGCAAGTTTTAAATATTAATGGAGTTTGTTTTTGCTTTGCAGGCCCAACTGGAAGGCATTATTGCACCAAAGAAGTGATAATTTCCATATGGGTCCCACAAACACGACTACCCCATCGTAAGCCCTTTGTAATAAAAAGCTAGTTTCCTAAATGAACAAGCCATACGCTCCCCTGATCACCACCTACATATTTGTCAGAAGTCACACCATTGACCCAGTGTCATGAAACACCTAAGTCTGGCAGCCAGGCTCCTGGTTGGGCAATGGAAGGTGGTGAGGCCAGGCAGTCTGTCTCTGGCCAGCCTTGGGATTTGCCAACTCAAATAGTAAGACTTAGCATCCACCCCTTTCCGCTGCATCCCTCTTTGGTGAGGCAACTGCTTTCTCGTCACTAATCCTAGCAGGATGCAGCTGGTTCCACCCCATTCCTGGTCCAGTTCATCTTGTACCTGAACTTGGGCTCCTCTGGCCTCAATTTTTCCCTTATTTAATGTCGTTTCACCATCCTGGCTCCAACACAGTTCTAGTAACACATTTTGAAGGATAGATTTATACTCTATCTGATCCCCGCTTGTCAACTGGACCCCTTCCTTAGTTTCAGACTGCCTAGGTGAGAAGGCAGTGGGAGAGTCAAACTCATGACTTTTAAGTAAATGTTTCCTGGAAAGAACTGTGTCCATGGTGAACTGCTTGTACCTCAGCTCTTCCCCCAAAACCTTTTTGTTCACTTTCTTCTGCTGAAAATCAAACCCTGGCCCTACACCCCTCTAAGTAGCTAAATTTAGTTAACAATGGGAGAGGTGCCCAAACCTATCTGCAGTCCTAATTATTGTCAGGCTATGGCCTGCACGCAACTGCATTTTACTGTTCCCCTTAAGTTAAACTCAAAGTTTGGACGCGCAGGACTCTTCTGGCTTCGTAGACCCAGACTACATAAGCGACAGGGTGGGCTAGGGCAGCAAGCTGCATGACTTCAGCACCCCCTCAGCTGGAATGTTTCTCAGTGCTCTGTGTTCCCCTGGAGATGTGAAGGCTCTCGCAGGGGAGCCTGATCTGCCACCATCCTGGTAGGGCTTCCAGGCTCAGTGACAAACTGCAGACCAAGAGCTACCTTCACCTTCCACCAAGTCAAACACCCCCATTTGACTCTCAAATTTGAAGGCACAGCTTCCCCTTGTCCAGGGTCCTGAGGAGTTCTAAGGCTCCCTCTGCTCTGCATGCTGTCGTTTTCATGGGAAAGAATGCCACGCACTGAGATGTACTAGTGCCACGCCCACTTAACAGTATAGCACGGATACCCCAACCGGACCCACCTACCAGACGCAGTGAGGGACAAGAGAAGCTGCGGCAGCCTTGTCTTCATATTTTGAAGCCCAGGCCATGCCCACTACATCCTTGAAATTTTGTTTTTACTGTTGTGTTCCAACAGCTTCTGTTCCATAATGCTAACTGCTGGGACAGAAGAAACACCACCCTTCCCATTCTATAGATATCATCCTGTTTCTGTCAGACATTCACGTGACAGAGCTTCTCTCTGGAGGAACCACAGGGCTGATCCGTGTCGGAAATGCCAATGGACTCCATCGCTGAAATTCTTGGGGGCTGGCACTGGTGAATGGTTTCAGCTGTCAAACCTCAGAACAATGCACTGTGGCCTTAGAAATGCCAACTGGGCAGGAAGAAATTGAACACAGTTTCTAATGCATATTTTTGTATAATTTAATAAACAGCCTTTAAAATGTTACTGCTTATGCTTGAATTTTTTATGTTTGCGCTTCTGTCCCTCTGAGTCATTGGTCTTCTTTTTGTTCCTGTTCCTATTTTTCACGTTGTGTGTTTCATAGTAGCGGACACCAACTTTTCTGGGTTGTTGCTTCCGTGCTGCTCGCCTCCGCTGTAAAAAACGGCAAAACAAAAAAGGCAAACCATTCAAACTCTGAAAATCACAAAACAGGCCCCTGTTTCTTTGTGCTCCATCCCCGTGCCACTCCACAGCTACTAGAAGCAGTCAGTGCTAACGAGGGAGGGTCCATCTCCCAGACCAAGTTTGTGCCTCCACTGTGATTTGTGACAAGTCCAAGTTACAGACTCAACTGGTCCAGCCCTCATCCAATGTTTAGATCCGTTCTACTGCACTCCTGACATGTGGTCCCCTGGTCAAAGGCCAAACATTTCCGACAAGCTCTCCACCTCCTAAGAGGGCCCGTTCCAGCTCTGAAGAGCCCAGTTACAAAGCTAACTTCACAGGGAACAGAGATCCGTCTGCCTAGTAACAGCTCTGCTCATTGTGTGTCATTTCCCTGGGGCCACATAAAACCAACTGATGCTTCCAGATGATAGGCTACACTTGAGAACAAGACCTTCATCCACTGGGCCAACTCCTGATCCTATTTAACTGTCTTCAACTCCGTCACTTGGGACTGGGGTTCCTTGAACTCCACTCTAGGTCACTAGTTTCAGAAAGAGCGCACCATAGAACGAGGCTCCTCCTCTCTACCTTCTATACCTGGGTGATGCTTAAGGTAAAAAACACGTACTTCCTTAGATGTCAGCGTCTTTCGAGATTTATTTGGATGTTCCTCTTCCCTCTGTGCCTTCCTCTTCTTGCCCTTTTTGGCAGGTGCTAGAAACATCGAATATACACACACAAAAAAGAAACAGGAATTTCTATTCAAAATATGCCTATGAATCCTAAGATGGGAAGGAACTTGATGCGCTGGAAGAAGGAAAAAGGCCGAGTGAATGGAGCATGGCGAGCAAAGTGCAGAGCGAAGCAGGATGAGAAGGGGAGGGCATCGGGCCAGGAGGGACCCCACAGGCCATGGCAAGGTGTGCATTTATGTCATGAAAACACACTCTTCTTGAGTTAGAAGCTGTTAGTCCAACGGAGTAAAAAATAAATGCATAAACCACCCTGCCCACCACAAAAAATAAAATCTGCCTGCAGACCCACCCTTCAACTGTAAGGCTAATAATGTACCCTGTTGAAGAGGGTTTCCTGAATTACCAATTTAATCCTAAGAAATGGGCAGAATAAAAAGTGGATAATTCTATTTGTATTATAGATTGTGGAACCAAGGTAATTTGCCAGATGGAAATAATTGTGTAGAAGTGACGGTACAAGAGATAACTTAAAGATTTAGCTTGGATTTCCTGAAGATGCCAATCATATCTAAATGATTTAATAATTTAACTCTACCCGTATCTTCCACATCTTCTTCAGCTGTTGTTTCTTGCTCTTCAGATTTTGCAAAAACCATTTCACTGAGTCCCTTGGATATTCTGAAACAGAAAAGCAACATGATGAAGCTGTCGGACATTCCCCTCCACTGCCCAAGCCACATGCTGACTTGAGACAACCTTACAGGTTAACACAACCCACTCCTGTTCAGTTACCACCACTGGCAGGTAGAAGGCAACACTCCACAGTTTCACAGCTCCCTGAGCATTTCTAAAAAACAACAATGAAGCTTCTCATATTTTAAGGAGCTGAACTTTAAAAAGCTAACAGATCACTTTTTAAAACTGTGGGCAATACCCCCTAACCCCCCATCCCCATAAACATATCACTCTAGTGCTCACGGCAAGCTTCTTGGAAGGAAAAGAGCAGACTGCAATTCGTGAGATGAAAATACCTGACTGCTGAGAACTTTTTCGCTTTGGCTTTGTTTAAAAACTTCTGATATTTAGCAATCTTTTCATCCAGGGCTTTAATCACTGCCTTGGTGTCGTTTTCCTGGTGTTCTTCCCGGGACTCTGGGTAATACTCTTCCTCCTCGCCCCCCTGTTGGGCCTGTTCCTCCTCCTCCTCCTCCTCCTCCTCTGCAGAGCTCTCTAGCTCCTCATCCATATCTGACATCTCCAAAGGAACCAGGTCATCTCCAGAAAACTCAGGCACGACGTTGATTTTGCCAAAGTTCTGCCGAACCCGCGCAAGGATCTGCTGCATCTCTGAGCTGGCGTCACAGGGACTGTTCACTCCTTTTTCCTTCTCGAGGACAGATTCTGACTCTTCACCTACAGTTTCTGTGATGTCCTCTTCTGGCTTGTTCTGGGTTGTTTCAGTGGCAGCTTCCAAAGATGATGAGGATGGAAGCTATTCAGGCCAAAGGGTAAAAGTGGGGGAGAGAAATCAGAAAAGAAAAATGGAATTTCTGAATTTATACCTTGCTCTCAAATGAGTAGTCCTCTTCTTAGGACTAAGGGGGAGTGCTGAGAATGCCCAAATATGTGACATGTCACTATCTATTTTAGGCCAATGTGCAGTAAACTCAGAACCCAGCATTAAAGATCAAAGAATGATATTTGCAGTTCCAGAGGAAGGACCCACTGTAAGAGTATTTAATCATTACAACCAAACACCTTCTTACTGCTGGGTAAGACTCCCTACAACTTCCCAGAGGACTGTAAGGAATGGGTGTTGTGGAGATAAGCAGCATTCGTTTAGGAAGTAACCAGTGCTAAGGAGAGGCACTGGGGAGACATCTGAAAGGAAGGTATAAGGTGAGTTCAGAAGGAGCAGGAACATGAAAATGATGAGCCTGTTTCAGATAACGATGTAAAGAGAAGTATGTACCAGACTTTATACTGATGCTTCTCAGATGCAATATTTTATTCTTATAAATGAAACTCACAGAACTTAAGTGATTTTCCAAAAAAAGTGCTAAATAGTTCAGAAATCTATAAAATTCAGGAAGTTTTATAAAATGTATATATATTTATGTACATTTTTCTAGCAAAGTGATTTTTTAGCTTTTGGATTCTCAAGGAGGTTTCTGCCACCACAAGAGATAACTTGCTGGGTCTAATGAATGTCAGTTAAAGAAATGAGTCTTGGCAATGCCTCTGTTCCTGAAGCGTAGGAAAAGACACAAGTACCAGAAGAGCACTTACATTTAATGAGCCCTCTTTTTTCAAGGCCCTAAAGACTAGTATTTAAATTTGGTCTTCTAGCCCGGCAGGGGTGGCTCAGGGGCTGAGCATTGACTTATGAACCAGGAGGTCACAGTTCAATTCCCGGTCAGGGCACATGCCTGGGTTGTGGGTTTAATCCCCAGTAGGGGGCGTACAGGAGGCAGGTGGTCAATGATTCTCTCTCATCGATGTTTCTATCTCTCTCTCCCTCTTCCTTCCTCTCTGAAATCAATAAGACAATATATTTTTAAAATCGGTCTTCTGCCATGCACCTACTTTCTGGTTTCCAAATGCCATCCCCTGCAAGGTCATGGTGATGGCATTCTGGACTGGGAGACACTGCAACTGAAATACCTAGCTGGTAAAGGGGGGCAATCAAGACACCACACCTAGGCCAGTCACCATGCTTTCCAAGAGGTGGGCCCACCCTGTCCTTACCTCGGGGGCTGTGGGGGGCTCTTCAGGGGGGTCTGCATTGGGTGGCTTGACAAAGAAAGGAATGCGGCCCCTCTGCCAGTCATTGAGAACCATCTTGCCCACAGTCTGCAAGTCAGGCTCGCCGCCCTGAAACATCACAGAAAGACTCCCAATTAAATTCGAAGACCAAAACCAGCACCCAGTTTGGAGGCACATCAGCAGTTGCTCATCACCACCATCTACTTGCCACCAGGTTTCATGCTGCTCACACCTCCCCGACAAAGGAAGGTCCAGACCACATCACAGCTGCCTGCAGATGTCCCCGTCTGAAACCTCACAAACCCTGGCTCACCTTTAACAACTTCCCTGTCCGGAAAGCGAGCTTCTCAAGAAAGTCCTCGGCATTCTCCCAAGAATCAATCTTGTATGTCTTGCTGATATACTCTGGTTTTGCTCGTTCAAGTACAGCCCCAATGTGGTCTTCGGGAGCCTTAATTTTTTCAACTTGAACCTAGATGTTAATAGGAAAGCTCTTGCTTACCAACCTCATTATGGGAGCAGGAAGCTCGCAGTACTGTTTGTAATAATATCTGAAAACAGATTTCAAAACCACATAGCAAGTGGGTCTTGGCAGGAGCCTGTCTCTGAGGTGGCTGGACGTGGTGGGCCAGAAGGAGCGCCACCGAAAGTCGGCCACAGCCACGGAGCCCAGGACTCAGCTTGAATCCCAGCTCACCACAAACTAACGGAGTGGCTTCCGCAAGCAGTTTAAACTTGGAATGCTTCATGCTACTCACTGGCAGAAATGGTTAAAAGTCTACCAATCCCAGCACACAAGGAGAACGGAGTAGCCTGAGACAGGAGGGGAGGAATGTGCACTGGGATGTATAGCCAGCAGCACTGGTTAAGGTAAAGTGGAACCAGTTAAAGTTTTTGGTTGTATTCAGAAACAAGTGAGGAAATGACTGAGCTCCAAAATGACTCAACCCGTAAACCCACAAAGATGAATTATCACTAAACATAAACAGGCCCGACTTCCCTTCGGATCCCATGTGTAAACTACAAACTCTTTTTGTGGGATGACATTAACCAGATATGGCCATGGTTCCACTAACTCCTCGAACAGGCTTAAGGGGAATGGAGAGGGTGCCCTGTTCAGCATCATGTTCCTAAAGTTTGGTCAGACAGCTTGACCCCAAACTGTCTTCCAAAGGAGAGAAAAGCAAAGGTATCCAGTGTCCCCCACAGAACGTTTTCCCCAAAAGGCAAACCAAGAGCCTGTGAGGACCAGAGTACTTACAACTCCTTTCAGCACAATGTCTGTCTCCGAGTCCTCAGAGGGGTAAACCACGCCTGGACAGTCGATAAGGAATATCCGACGCATCAAGGTAATATACTGCCAGACCTAAGACA